TTGTATCTAAATATATTTTTATCCTAGAACTTAAACACATTTTTTGAATAAATTTCAAAAGTAGTGTAACAAGAATTCTATACTTATTTATAGGTGTGTGTAATACTCAGTGCTCGAATTTTCAAAAAATTTACAAGTTCAATCCATCGGAATAAAAACTGCATTCCAAGTGAACAATTACTTTACATACACGACCCCACCCCACCCCTAACCTAACCTAACCTAACCTTACTTATATTTAGAATACCACTTTTCAGCTACACGGATATTTAAATTCCGATTATAACATATTTTGATCACATACTAGTCCACAGATATTATGTATAATAMATTATAGGAAAACAACACAGTGTGATATTGTAATTAAATGATGAGCAAATTATAAAAATAAAAATATAAGACTATAGAAATGATAATAAATTAATAAACTAATATAAAAAATAATTTTTGAAACTAAAAACTGTAAAATTCGTCATCCTTGTTATATAATTAATGTAAATTAAGATCCATATTTTAATAAACATTTTTTGGATATAAGTTTGTGCCATTGCCCCGTTCCTATGTTACTAATTATTGTAATTACCAGTTTTTAGTAATATTTCATTATTCCCACTTGGACCTCAACGCATACAAGTAGCTTACTAGTTACTGATGATAATTTGATAAACTAGTTGGGATAGTGCCGGAGATTAACATGGGTCGACGACGAAATAATTTCTCAGGATAATATTTMGTGTCTATGACATATTTTCAACTTTGATCGGATCCCTGATGGCAGGAATAGCCTTTCTCAGCGGGTACTGATATATGCATTATGCATATATCCCATAGCAAGACCCACCCACCTACATTAGGTTGAGCGACCGCCCTTCAATTTTTTTTCCACTCATCTATGTATAATTTTAACAACCAAGAGTTATAAGTACATTTTTAAAGATTGCCAGTTGTGCCGTGTTAAGGGGGGATAGTAGAGTATATAAACCGGTAGCATAGTGGCCGAAGCTCCCCCCCCCTGGAAATGACTCAATTGTTAGCGTTATGGTTTATGGTTTATCCTAATTCATAATGTTAGCTATAATATATTTATAACTTTCATAAATTAAAATAATTTTAGCCAGTGTGTCCGTAGGCTTATTACACCCACCCACCCTTAATAATAGGTATTGCAACTGCAATACCTGGACATAGGGATCGGCGCCACTGAACGTTTTAACTTTTAAAATGGCTTATATTTTTTTAAACCGTTTTCACAACTTACTGCGTTTATTTAAACGTAGTAATAGTTGTTTATGTAATGAAAATAATGTAAACTAGGTATGTAAAAAAATTTTGAAATTTTGAATAGGTATTAATGTTYCTATAGGTTAAAGTATTATTATTCGTTTTCAACCATGTTTTATATTGTGATAATATAACTAAGGAACAGTAATTCTATAACCCTTCACACGTATCATTACAGGTACCTATCAGTACTTTCACGTCGTAGAATATATAATAATTATTAATTAATAATAATATTTCCTGTCATTATTAATGACCTAMTGTACCTAATACACATAAGTTATAGGTACTTAGTTGTTTAAAAAAAATACGTCAATTAAAGATCAAATACCGATAAAAATCTTTTTGTTTTATTTACTGTTTTTACTTTATATAAATTTATTTGCAAATAATCATCGCACTTAAATCTTTAAGTTCCACAACTGATAAAATATTAACTATTTTTAGTTGTGGAGAGCAATTTCTAGATTTTATAACATTTATAATCTGAAAATTCGTTCATTACATTTGAAATTATCATAGAAAACATGAAACCCTTTAGACTTCAATGTATATATATATATGCTTATGCGTAAAGGTATATTATACACCATACAACTACATAAATACGTAGAATATAAATTAGATCGCGTACTTTATTTAGCTGATGGAATATTTTGAAATTTATTTAACTCCATTCGAAGTAGGTTATAAACAGCAAATAAAACATGTATATTTGCATTTGAACCAGAACTTTATTCATTACAGTACGAATTTCAGAGATATATAATATAATGTAATACCTACAATGTTACATGTACCTTGTTTATTTTACCCATTCGTAACACACGTATTAAATTCAAATATTTGTTTTTCCATTTTACCATAAATATTATACTATATATGTTCCTAKTATATCATATTACCGTGTAATTGTAAATGGATCATTTTTTTTTACATTTCCATAGTTAAGTCACACGAATTATAATATCGTATACCAATTATTTGATATTTTAATGACAAAAATAAATACGTTGGTAGGAATAACAAATAAAACTGGTTATAAAAATAATCCTTATACTCTGACAGTACAATGCTCAAACGAGTTTAATATATATTTAGGTTCCTATTAATAAGCACCCATTGCACCCATTATATCGACGAGTATTTAAGCTTTTTCCGACCATTAAAAAAAAGATTTGTATTTATCAGTGACGTCGTTATAGAAGGTTGGGATGTGTCTGATATTTTAGATTCGAGTGGGACGATGTGTGAATTATTGTTACAATAATCTGTTGTTTTAGATACATTTTTGTGCCTATAGTTGTACAGATTTTTCTAATTTATACGATTTTCAAGATTGAGGATGGCTTCTAATCGAATAAAAATAAAAAATAAATAGTACTTTAATTGAGTCTAGATTGTACTTGTAAAAGGTTAAAATTGAAAATTCTCCGAAATTTTCTAAATAAACAGGAAATGTAAAAAAAAAAATTGTATAACACGCTGAATTTTTACGGAAAACCAGTCATTGGCGTAACTTACAAACTATAACCGTATATATTTGAAGTTTTCACCAATCGTTTATTTTTTGTTTTTTACATACTTAATATTATAATTATTAAAATATGTACAATTGTACTTATTTTGAGCTGTTTAATCGACCTATGAAATTACTTTTTTTTAAATATCGATAAAACATTTTTCGTTGGGTTATAATTTATAACAACTTATAAAGCTGGAAAATTGAATATAAGGTTAATTTTATTGTCAAAATCTTGACAATTAAATTTGCAAATTATTTTGAAGTTACACATTTTTAAAATATTCAATGTTTTAGTTAAAGATTGAAAACTTTAATTAAAGTTTTTTTAAAGTAGTTCATTGTTTATATTGTAACCAAAAATCAAACATAGTCTTGACTTAAAATTTCAAGCCCTGCATACGTTTTGTAATTTTTGAGAAATATCGATGAGTGATATTATATGGATTAGATATTTTAAGTGTTTATATTATATATTATAGCTATCTATATTATAAACTGAAAAAATGTGGTTAAGATTTTCAATATAAATTATTTTACCTACTGTTTAAAGTTATGTATTTAAAAAAAAAACAACAACACCAACATAGAGCTTTGAGGTACTTATTTATTAAAAATTACTTAATTTATGCATAAAATAAAAAATATAATAATAATAATATAAAATAAAATGTTTTAGTTCAAGTTTAAAAAAAAAAGTTCGTTTTAATATTATTTTATAGTATGCTCTAATAATATACTGACTGTGGAAGAACATYTTTAAGAGTATCTACGTTAATTGTAATGAAGAAAAATATTAAATAAGCCGTTAACATACAATGCAAAAATTGCTTTACACATTATATAAAACAATATAAACATAATTGCATAATCTTATAAATTATTAAATTCTCGACTCATAGACCACAAACTCATCATAATAATTTAACTGATAACATCACAACACGTCATTCTAAAACTAAAATAAAATTTTCTTCATATTCTATAATACCTTCCTATACTATGTATTATTTAGTAACTATTTGTTTTACTTTATATTGCTCAATAATATTTAAAATCATAATATAATATTTATAAAACGATATARTAATATCACTGATGTGCAACTAAAAACTGATTAACTCTAAAACTATTATGGTAATTGACAAGATACCACAACCTGAACCACAGCTATTTATATGTTTATTAATATCATTCAATGTTTAATAATATGTTTAATAGTCAATACTAATCATATACACAGGTATACGTCATACGTATAAAATAATTGTACTGACATAATATTTAAAATTCAAAACCCGTCTATACGTAATGCACAATCACATACAATATAGCAATGCAAATCAACCTTCGTTGGCATAATATTATCGTGAACGCGAACATATGGTATAAACCGGAAGCATGGAGACGGTTTTCGAGTGCGATTACACAATGCGTATAGTTTTTATAATAATAATAATAATATAACATCCACTCGGACGGTTAACGAACGAGAGTTGAATTGATCTGGATGATATATTGTGTTGATTTCTTCTACACGCGCTACGGTGGMCGAGGACCKGCAACGGCCGCAACACGCTGTTAGAGGTGAAGAAGAAGAAAAACAAGCGTCTGCAGAAACTAGTTTCTCGTCTTTAATACTATATAGGTAGGTATGTGCAAGTATAGGTATAAATTCGGCATCGATRCACAGTAATAAACTAAAATATATTATAATATTAATAAAGTACATATATTATATATTATATACTTATACGATCTCGCGTATACGTGCGAGATCATCATCGCGTATTACGACGACATCGCAGACACACGCCAACCGATACAATAACATCGGAGTCTATAACCATAATTTATATCTATATACCTATACAAACATATWATATTATTAGGTATTATTAATACGGGTACATAATAATATTATACGCGTAACCGGAATAGCGTCAAATAGTAATTACTATGATACGAATGTACATAACACTATTATGATTATTATTTATAAATTATTCAAATATTAAGTGGGTAGAGTGTATTGTAGATAAACATACAGAGAAAGTACAACGACAAAAACTTGAAATAAAAAATAAAAAAATAATTTATAATAACGCGACCGCTCTCGGGTGATGGCAGACGAGTGGTGGTAATGAAGAGSATTGATGGGAATCTTCTTTACCGGTTATAAAATATTATTATAAAACAGCGAGCGCGTCTGTAGCCGCTTATCATTCAATAATGGTCAGCGGACATCAAAATATCCAGCGCATTTTCGCCATGGAGTGTTTAAAGGTAATAATAATATTATATCGTACATTAATCTCGATTCACAGCAGTGGATGTAACGATTTCTATCGACTCACTTGTATATAAAAATATTTGAATATAACTTCGGTATAACCGTTTTTTATGCTTACATGTGTGATTTTTATTTTATTTTAGTTGTGCGTTATTGTGGGTTTGGCTCTAACTGCTGCACCTGGTCGACCAGTGGCTGCAGCACCGTCACCGACCAATGCTTATGTGTACCAAAAGCACAAACGGAGCCCTGCAGAATTCAACCGGGATTTGACTTCCACGCTGACAACAGACTTCGATGGTTTTAGACCGTTGCTAGATTTTGGTTACGGTTCTCGTTTGTCGTCCAACACAGCGGGTTTCGGGTTCGATGACGCCACCGACGGTTTCGGCACATCCGCCGGATTACTACACTTGTCTCATCCGTACGCTACTACCGCATTCGGCTCTGGGTTTGATTCAATTGATTATCCATTTTCTGATTCCACACTGAACCAACTTCAGTTCAAAGCCACGCTTGCTTCTGGTTCATCGCCATCGCTCCCGGTATCTATAAAGTATAGTCCACTGGTGGATAATGTCGGTAGTCATCAAACCCAAATCACTGGACTTTCAGCCAATGAGCCCGCGAAACTGACTGCCCAAAGAACTGTTTCATTGCAACAGACTAGACTTAATGAACAGCGCATTCCTATAGAATCGTTTAGAGCCGCACCTGCTCAGCTGCAACAGTCATATTCGGCATCTGTATCTGTACCAAAACAACAGCCGTATGCAATTTATGCTCCACTACAACAGTCATATCTGGCTTCCGCATCTCCACCACAACAACAGTCGTATCCAACCACCCAATTTGTACCACAGCAACAATCTTATCCAGCTGCAATATCTGCGCCACTTCAACTGTCATATCCAACCTCTGTGTCTATACCACATCAACAATTGTCTGTGACTGCAATATCTACCCCACTGCAACAGTCATATTATCCAGCTTCTGCATATGTATCACAACAACAAAAACAGCAACAGTCGTATCCTGCTGCAATATCTGTACCACTTCAACAATCATATCCAGACACTACATCTGCTTCGTTTCAACAGTTATATCCAACCACTAAATCTGTATCACAGCAGCAGTCGTATCAGCCTTCTGGGTCTGTACAACAGCAACAGTCTTATTCTCCGTCTGGATCTATACAACAGCAACAGTCGTATTCTTCTTCTAGATCTGTCCCGTTGCAACAGTCGTATTCTTCTTCTAGATTTACTCCGTTGCAACAATCGTATCCGAAAGGCGAATCTGTACAACAGGAACAGTCATTTRTAGCCACCGCATCTACGCAACAACAACAGCCATATCCAGTCACCGTCGGAAATTTACAAATTCCTGTATATCAATCCCCCGCAGTTAGCGATTCAGCGGGTTCACTGATCGCATCTGAAGCTGGATCCACACCAGACCTAATTTTGGAGTTGAGACCTCCACCGTACACCACACCCKCGACGTCGGTCGATTATCAAAAAAATATGAACATTCTGTCTAATCCGTCATCCACCTATCAACCTGCAGCTGGCAATAATTACAACAATAAAAACTATCCTGGTAATGATTCTGGTTTGTCAACGGCTCCCGTGGCCGGTACTTCTGGTCCAAACCAGGTCTCCAATGCTCCGAATGGTGGCTCGCTCTCCGGAAACACAAACGATTTTGGTGGTTCATACGCCAAACCCGACCAAACTTTCTCGAACACCTACTACACGGTCCCCCTTCCAGTGTCTGGCGGTTCGAATAGTGTTTCAAGCGATGTTTCTAATTACTTTTCGTTTCCTAGCATATCTTATTCCTTAACCAGTACCGCAAACAGTAAGTTTGATGGTTCGACACAAGCACCACTAGCTGCTACAGTACCTTCTTTTGGAACTGACCACGATGTATCTACAGTAGCTAATCCTACTGGCGGCCAAAGCTCCTCTTACCGAGACGTTRACTCCATTCCAAGCGTGTCTTACACTAACTCCAATTCAATTTCTGCGAACTCGTATAGCGATTCCAACTCAATCCAGAGTAGTTCTTTTACCATATCCAGTTCACCAGAAGCCGGAAACTCTTACAGCGACTACAAGCTCAATACCAACAATTTTTACGGTGACTCGAATTCGATTTCACCCAACAGCAAACGTGAATCACCCACTGCCAATTTATCCGAAAAAAYCCCGAAGTTKGGTTAGGTTAGGTTATCAACGTTGCATAACACTTCGACGACAAGAGTGCTTATAAATCCATATAGTAAGAATATATTTTTTACACTGTGAATATGACTTAATAATATACTTGTATATTTTATTTTTTTTAAGTTAATTACATCTTAAGTTTAAGTGCTGTTAGTTTAAGTTTTTTTWAAAGTAAATTAGAAAATATATTTGTACCAACATTTTTTTCATTTTTTATAAATGTTTAAAATATAATAATGTTGAACATTATAATATTGTATTATACCTACCTGTGTAACTGTGTTTTTACTTGTATGGAAACGTTATTTATATTGTGATTTTTGATTATAATAAATATTTGTATTAAAAAGTTAGTTATGATATTTTC